TGTCAAAACAAGAACATTTTCCAATCCATTTCGGGCAGGTTCCAACACCATGAAATCCATCGCCACAATTTCATTAGGACGAGACACTAATAAATGCCCCATGAAACTGCGAGCAGCAGGCTGTGAATCTTTTGACACCTGACACCTCTCACATTCTTGACACCAGCTGGTCACCTCCGCAAACATACCAGGCCAATAACAGCGCTGTCGCAATAGTTCCAACGTACGTTCCCGCCCCTGATGACCATGCTCATTATGCAGTTGCGCAAACACCTCCCATCGCAACGCAGTAGGCAAGACCAGCTGCAACACTTCCTCAGCCCCATCAGAACGGAACACCTGGCGGTAAAGCACCCCATGGAGCATTACCAGTCTATCCCATTGCCGCAACAACACCAGAGCAGCCTTTGAAATCTGACGGCGCTCCTCCAAACTAGGCCGTCGCTGTAATCTCCAGAACTCAAGAACCTCCTAAATGACAGAGTCAGCCGCCTGCAAAACAGACAAATCAGATGCCGTCTGACCAGGCAATGCCATGATAGTCACAGAACCCTTAGTAAATACCTCCCCAGCTCTTTGTACTAGTTTGGGCACAGCAGTACCTGGGACAACACTTCCCAATGGATTCCATTGTAACCCTTTCCGACGTGACAACGCATCAGCGTTACGGTTGCTCCGCCCTGAACGATATTTGATTTCAAAATCAAAGGAGGCTAATTGGGCAGCCCATCGTTGCTCCATAGCCCCCAACTTGGCAGAGGACAAATGGCTGAGTGGATTATTATCGGTATAAACGATACACTTGTGCCCCAACAAGTACTCCCAAAACTTCTCTGTCATAGCCCACTTAAGGGCAAGAAACTCTAACTTCATGGAGCTGTAGTTAGACATATTTCGTTCTCCAATATAAAAGGGAGGGAAAAATCAGCATATGCCAATACCGGGGCGGTAATAAGCTTAGCCTTCAGAACCTCAAAGCTCTCCTCACACTGTTCCGTCCAAACTAAGGCAAAACTTGGTACTAGTGCACATCGGGTCCTATTTGGGGCCAGATCTGCCACCAGCTTATGTAATGAGCCAGCCAATTTAGCAAAGCCCGGTACAAAACGGCGATAATAGCTTGTAAATCCCAAGAAGGAACGCAGTTCCGACACATTACTAGGTCTAGGCCAATTAGCCACCGCATCAACTTTCCCAGGATCAGTTGACACTCCACTCCGCGATATCACGTGGCCAAGATACTGAACCTCCTCTCGGAAAAAAGCACACTTCTCCAACTTTGCCTTAAGGCCCTCTTGTTTCAGCCGGCTTAACACCACTTCTAGCCTCTGCAAATGCTGGGCCACACTAGAGGAGAAAATCACAATGTCATCTAAATATAGGAGCAGGGACTGACACTGCTGGTCCCCAAACATGCGTTCCATCAGCCTCTGAAATGTACTAGGTGCGTTGCACAATCCAAAAGGCATACGATTCCATTCAAAAAGGCCAAACGGGGTACAGAATGCTGTCTTAGCCTTATTCTTCTCAGTCACTGGGACTTGATTGTAACCACTTGCAAGATCCATAGTAGAAAACCAACAAGCTCCTGCCAAAGCATCCAATGATTCCTCAATGCGAGGAAGGGGAAATGCATCCTTCCGGGTCTTACTATTAAGGAGGCGGTAGTCAATGCAAATGCGCAAACAGCCATCCTTCTTTTTGATGAGAACAATAGGAGAAGCATAAGGACTACAGCTCTCACGTATCACCTGGGCCTCCAACAACTGGTGTATACGGGTCTTAACCACCTCATACTCAGAGGGAGGAATCCGTCGATGGTGCTGCCGAACTGGGGCATCATCTAACAGAGGGATGTCATGCGAGATGAGACCAGTACACCCCAAATCTCCCTCATGGGCAGAAAAAACAGTTTGGTACTCATATAAGAGAGACTTCACACGCCCCTGCTCTTCTCCTGACAGACCAGGTAGTTCAAGTGAGTCTATTCTGGCAGACACGGGGTCAGAAGCTTTTTGAGAACAGACCCCAGCAACAACTGGTCGCACCTCGGTCAACAAGTCAACAAGATAAACCACACTGAATCTCCCTACAAGAGTATGTGGATAGAGCAGAACATCAGCCTTTC